GGATAATATGTGGCTCCAGGGTTAGAGTGGAAGTGTCAACGGGGATGCCTCGTCGCTCCCGTTACGACAGGCCTCCTGCGCGGCGCCCCTTTGACCCTAATGACAGATGCTACGAGTGTGGTGAGAAAGGCCACTATGCTTATGATTGTCACCGCTATAGTCGCCGAAGGAGGAGCAGGTACGTGTGGGGCCAGGGTGGCTGGGTTGCTTCGCCAGTTCACTTTTGTGTAGCTCTTGTTAGCAAAGAACAGAATGTTACGCCAGTTTTAACTCTTAATGTTGTAAGTCAACAGGTTTATATCACAATTTTTTTTTGCTGATACATATAAAATGTTAATATCTTAATAATCAACCTGGTCAAAACCTTTCAGGTTTCTTCGTTTGAGTCAGTCGCCTTGATTCAGAATGTCACGAGCCTTAAGATTTCATGCTGAGGCGCCTTGCAAATCCGACACTTAAGATCCTCCTAGACCTTGAGGTGATCAGCATAAGAGGCCAGATCCCCTCGAGCCATCTACACGTAGCTTCACCTTATTCTTTAAGGGCAGAAAATTTGAGACGGTGATCGCCGTAACAGTAAATTTGGCTTTCAATTGGGGCCCCCCTCCGGTTTAGAAAGAGGAACACCAGATTGACCACATTCCCACCTAGAAAAATCTTCTTGCGTCAATCAAGCCTCACCCTGGCTCATTGGGCTGTCAGTTTGATCGTCGTTAGATTGAAGAGAACACCTAGATGCAGCGATCGGCTATAGATACTTCTAGATCGTCTAGATCTGCTAGACCTTGGGCCAAAGAGGGTCGACCTGCAAACTTGCAAGGTTTATTTTAAATACACATTACAGTGTTTTCTATTCTAATGTAATTCTGCAATGTAATTCAGCTTTTAACATTTTTCTAGGTAGTAAAATGCTCAAGACAAGTAGGCCCAGAGATTTTTCCAACTGACAGATGCTAGTGGTGTGTTTTTGTTGGTTTGGTTTGGTTTGGTTTTTTTTTTTTTTTCTTTTTAGTTGTCTGAAATCAGTTTTGACTTCAGCAGGGCCTCACATGCACTGATTGCTGCAGCTGTTTCCTGATACCTGTTTTCTCTAACCTAAAACCAGGTCCCGGTCTAGATCCCGTTCAAGGTCCCGAGGAAGAAGGTATTCTCGGTCACGCAGTCGGAGTCGTGGTAGGAGGTAGGGTTCTGACTGTTATGTTTCCATTCTTTTTTCTTTCTCCTCCCTCTGCTCCAGCCTTTTCTGTAGTCCTAGTGATAAGTACCGTGCAGTAATTTTGGTTGTTTTTTCCCTTTGTTTTGTAGATCAAGGTCAGCTTCCTACCGCAGGTCCAGATCAATCTCTCCTCGTAGGTATAGATCATTTTCACCCCGCAGATCTCGATCTGGTTCTTTAAGGAGATCAAGGTATGTATTTTCTCTTAAGCCCACAACATTGTTGAAGGGAATGTAACTGTTGGAGTTAACATTTAAGTTCGTATTTAGCAGTCCGTGTGTTTTCAGGAACCTTCATAGTGTACATCCCCGAGAGCGAATCTGAACAGTTTCTTTGAAGTTAAAAATTTAAGCATATAATTTTGGAACTGCTGGTTCTGAGCTTTTTTTTTATACTCTTGTGAAGTTACAGCCTTGATCTATGGTTAAGGTTTCCTACTTCAGCCTCAAGGATACAGGGAGTAATTGTGCTTAGTCGACGAGTGTGGTGCGATTTATTGTGGGGATGGTAGTACTGGCCAAAAGTACTACAGCTTTCTAATAATAAAAGTTATTTTTGCAAAACCTATGGTTCCAACAAAATTCTCTGAGGTCAGTATCATAAAAGTCAAAGAATACTATCTCAGCTGTGTGAACCATGTAGTAGTAGTTGAGCTTTCACTGCTTTTTTTATTTTTTCTAGATCTAGGTCCAGATCACGCTCAAGGTCCCGGTCTGTTGTATGGCCTCGAAGCAGGTAAGATACTTGTTTAAATTCAAACCAGTAATGGTTTTGGGTTTGTTTTTTTTTTTTTTTTCTTCCCCAGGGGAGTTTGGCTGGAAGGGGTTAGAAGGTTGTGCAGCATAGCAGTATTCACACTTAAGGTTAATAATTTATGCCTTTTCACAGACTAAAGTAGTGGTTGATTTCTTGTGATAAACATGAGTTTGTTTTGGTGGGTGGCTGCTATATATAGTCTATGTATATGTAGCCATAAACAAAGCATATATATGATTTAAGGTCTGTGGAGAGAAGTTCTGAGAACTAGTTAATGCCTATGCATGTAGAGAATGCTTGACCTTGTGTCCTGCAGGAAATGCTGCTTAGGTTTTTCTTGGCCTGTTTTTTTCTAAATCCCAAATGCTGGGGGTGGGGAAGTGATGAGAAGGTTGCTGCTATTGACTGAACTCTTGCTTATGGCTTTTCAGCTTTGTCAGTTCCAGTTCTGAGAGTTAGATCAAATTAAATTGCTGTAGTGCTAAGCACTACCTTATATGGGGTAGGACGCTTCAGTCCAGAGTTTTGGAGGGCTGAATGAACAGGACCATGAGTCCTAATGCCACAGGGCATTTTGAAGGACTGCTCTGACATGTAGAGCCCTGGTTTTGTGGATCTGGATGTTTTCCATGCTGAAATGGAAGTTGAAGAAAATGGGTATAGAATACACGTTCTTGCATTATTTTCCTCTGTCCTTTGTGATACATCTTAGTTGGATGGAGGATGAAAGAGTAGGATAAAAATGTGATGGACATGAGAGCTGGTAAGTTGGAAGAAGCTGTCTTTTGTTTTGCATTAGAACGGGGGAAGAGAAATGTTTTTTCGGGGTCTGCCTGCTACTTTAGGACTTGCACATTGAGCCTTCAAGGCGATGATGATTGTTATTATTACTAGAGCTGTCCTGATTTACCACTTGTACAAGTCTGTAATGCAGGAGATGACTAGCCAGGCTCAAATTGCATGCTGCTACTGTGCAAGAGTCTGGATATTGATGATGTTGCTTGGTGACTTCTAGTTCTGAGACAGTCATGCTCCTGTATGAAAGACTTGATACTTGCACTGAAATTTCTGAGGAATGCTGGCTTTGCATAGGTCTGCAATTGCAGTGGTGAGAAGTGGTAGTTCAGGACTGGAGTTACGGAAGCACTGTGAAAACTCCAGCCTCTGCTAATACAGCAAAACACTAGTACGTAACCGGTGCTGCTTCTGGAGCTTTTTATTTGCAGTCTTGCTTTGTTGCTGTGCCTCTCGGAAGGAGGATTTGCCAGCAGTTCTTGTAGTAAGATGATGCTCTTGCATGCTGCCTTACTCTATTTCTTACCAAAGGAAAAAGTCATGCTCATGCTACGAAAAACAAGTTCGGGGTAGTGAGCAACTCCATTCTGTGTAACACTCCATTCTGTGTAACTGTGATGATGCAGTAACAAAATTACTGGTTATAGTGTTAGGAACTGTGACAGAGGATGGCTCAGCATAGTGACGAGGCAGGTTTCAAAGCAGTGGCACCGAACTCTGTGCTTAAGTTGTGCCAGCAGTGTCCACGTAGTATTTCTATAAGTTAATAGGCCGGGTAAAGGTGAATCTTGATTGGCCTTTAAAAACTGAGCAGAAATAGAATAAAAGTTTCTTACGGTTTTGGCCAAGTCTTATTAAACAACTGACTATCTGAAATACTGGGCTTTCTGATGTTCAGTAATACCACATGCCTGAATTCCACACTCAAGGAGGACAAATATTTTCTAAGTAACAGCAAATACTTGAGTTGGTAAAGTGACATGATAAACATGGGAGGAAAGTCTCACTGTTTGAGTAGATGACACTGGGACGAGCTGGGAATAGTTTGCACATTAGTAACGAGATACTGAAAACTGAAATGCTGTTTTCATTGGGTAACTGATGAAAGAGCTATATTATACTTGAATAAAAGTGGTACTGGGAACTTGATCTGAAGAATGCATCAGCTCTTCGGCACACATACTTACCTGTGGCTGATTCCAGGCTCTTAAAGTGCTATTAAAAGATGTTCTAAGATGACACTTGAAACTATTCTTCCCTTTATGGAAGGGACGCTTGCAGGCAGGGAGAAAGTCTGGGAGCCTGGTACAAGGTCTTTGGTTTTGTGAAGGTAGTAGCTGAAGCTTTGCTGGGGAGCTTCTGGTGCTTGTACTCTTGTGTTCTGATAAGTGAGGTCTCTGGAATAAGAGCTAAAGGATTCTCCTGAAATGTCACAGGAAAAGGCTGCAGCACCAGACACCAGAGCCTTCCTCTCTGGTTTGTGATGCTGTGTAGTATGAATTTGCTGTTGCTGGTTTAGCTAACTTTCATTGTATGTGCGTGCCACTGGCTGCTTTGCTGAGCTTTATTTTTCTCCTGTTGTAGGTCTGGGTCCCATGGTAGATCTAAATCTGGCTTACCTGCTAAAAGGTGAGCGTATAAATACAAGTAGCACTCAGTTGGTTTTTTGGGGGTGGGGGGGGTGGGGGTGTAGGTTTTTTGGTCATAATTTGAAATCTCTGCATGGACCAGTATTTGTGTTGCACGTGGAAGAGTTTGGGGTTTTTGTTGTTTTTTTAACAGCTGATTTTTAAATACTTTCATACATTATTTTTATGTATTTTTTTAATAGCTGGTTTTTGTGGGACAGTAGGCAATTCTTCCAGAAGGGTTGTGGATACCAGTTTTTGTTTAACCCATGATTGTAACGAAAAATATTTTTTTACAGGATTTGGGGTGTATCTTTCCCTACCTCTGTTCTCAACTGTCTGTAGTTCTCAGTCTTCCTGACTTGACTCTACTCGATTCACTGCTCCTGCTTTGCAGGATTACTGTGATCATTTTAGAGCTGCTTTGAAGCTGTGTGTTGCTCTTTTCCTGAGGGCTCTGGCTTTCAGCAGTTCTTCTCAACTGCAGCTTCTTGCTTAAAGTAATTTGGTATACTTGTTATCAGCAGCATTAAGGGTGGTGCCTTTGAGTTTATTTAAGAACATCAAACTATTACTACTGTTTTTAAATGGTCAAAAGTGGTTACTGAGTGTATACAAGTTTACAACATTGATTGTTTTGTTTTGTTTTGTTTGTTTTGTTTTTTTTCAACAGTCGCTCAAAGTCCAGATCACCATCTCCAAAGAGAAGGTAGGAATATCTTAAAACTGGAGCGTTCCATACAGTTACATAGAACTAGTATCTGGATTGGTTGCTATAGAAGTTAACTTGTGCAAGGATAAAAGCTTAAAGTTTTTTACTTGTCTTATTTGTGAACTGTGAAAAGATGAATTGTTATGGGCACTTCCTACAGCTGGTAGTCAGAACTTCATGGTAATAACTCTAAGGTAACCTACTTAAATTAAATTTTAAAGGACAACAGAAAATGTGGGCAAATGAGAATCAACTATCCTGAGGACCCTGAGGAATTGAGAATCTGGGAAGAAGTGGGTAATGTAAGGTGTGGAGCAAACCTTGAGTACGTGGTAGGATTAAATTCCTGCTGGTGGCTCCTGACAGCTGGCTCTCACTCAGTTGCACAGCCGCCAAGTTTTGCTGTGCACTGTGAAGTAAGAAGCAAGTTTTCCCACGTAACCAGAGAAGTACGTGCTGGAATTTACCTAGTCTGAGACAGGGCTAGCCATAAGGTACTATACTGGAACTGCGTAGGTTATGGCAGGGTAAGAATTCCTCTGCACAGCTGGAGCACAGGCTCCAAGGTGCTTTCTGAGCAGGTCTGATGTCTCATCTAGCTGTCGCAGCTGATGTCTCTTATTTTGCCTGCCCTTTTCAAGCTTAAAGCAGTCGTTACTAAAGGTGTAAAATATAGCACTTTTCTCATTATTCATGAACTGGAAATGAAAACAGCATGGGGAGAGGCATTATGAGGTGGGGGGGAGGGCTCCTGAGCAGAGGAAACCTGGGGTAGCAGGCACAGTTTCTGTTGTTTTTGCTGTAGGAGTTGGTCTAAATCTTTTTCTTTCCCTTTCAGTCACTCACCATCAGGAAGCCCTTGAAGGAGTGCAAGTCCTGAAAGAATGGATTCAAATTTAAAAAGTTTAAGAAGAAAATTTATTTTGTTTACATTATTATAAGGGATTTTGTGGTGTCTTTATAAATGTAAGGGCTTAGGCCTAGAAGGCTGTTTCTATTGACTAACAATTGGCATGAATCTGAATCTTTTAAAAGTCTTATTAGTAGACTAATGCAAAACTCTTTTGTTGTGTTAACGTTCTGTGATCTGGAAATGTTGGGCTTTTTTTATTGGCGCATTGAAATAAACTGTGCATTTCTAATGAAGAAATATTTTGTGATAACCCTGCTGTTTCTGTTAACATTTGGGTAGCTGAAGCAGGTCATGTGCCACTGTGGTGAAAAGCAGGTGGCAGGCTGTTGCAGGCACTTGTGAATTGAGCGTAGTGCAGCAGCCAGTCGAGGGCTGTCCTGCAGGCGTGTGCCTGTGGCAGGACTTCTTCCTACACGTGCAGATGGGAGTTGCCAGTACCAGCTGTCGTTCTTTCTCACTGTTCGGTCTTGAATGTTCTGGTGATCTGTACCTTGTGGTTTTATTTGCACCTCCTCAAAGCTCAGTGAAGCTGAAAACCTGTCTGGAGGTGCTTGTACACTTGATGATTTGACTGACTGACTTAGAAAAATGTCTACAAAGGGCATTAACAGATGGAAAAACCAAGGAATGTGTGAATGCTGGTCTCCCTGTCCTGTTGATTAAAGGACTTGAAGGTATTTGGAATACTTCTGGAATGTAAACTATTGAAGTAAATATTTTTAGAAGTCTTGTTTTATGTCCTGGTTGTCCAAATAGTACTACTTCCTTGCATACTTAAGATAAATTGGCTGTTCTGGTGCAGAAGATGATAGATAGATTTAGATACTCTTTTTAGGAAATGAAGGCTTTTCTTAGAAATTGAAGGTCACAACCAGAACCTGCAGGTCATGTTTAAATAGCAGTACATTTGGGGAATCCACCCCTCAGTTACACCTGTCTGCCCTGAACTGCCTGGTCACATCTTCTTCAGCAGCAAAGTGTAGCCAAGGGACTTGCTGTGTCCCATTCAGTTGTTGCTTTGGGAAACTGGACTACAGCTGCCTGTATACAGATGGTCCCACTGCTGATAGCTGAAGGATTTAGTCTAAGTATGATAAACGAGTGCAAGGTCTTTGCCAGTTTGATTTGTCTTTGCAGCTGATGATGGCTATTATCAGACTAGTAAGGAAATCAGAGTGCTAGATGATTTTTGACTTAGCAGTCTTCCTTACAGTATGTTCTGGCCTATATTCCTGTGTCTTACAGGCTAGCGAGGAACAATAATTCTCTTGGGGCTTCCAATTTGTCAGCAGTGGGTTGGTACTCTACTGTTAGAGTAGAGCACTGCAGCTGCGCATGGGCACCCAACCCCAGGTTTTCAGAGGAACGTTGGTCATTGTTGCTTTACAAGATGTCCAGGTATTAAAAGAATGATAATGAGCCCCTATACATAATTTCACAGACTCATCCTGTGTACTACAGTACGTTTGTCTCATCCCTTGTCTCTTCTCTCTTCCCCATTTTTGTACATTTTAGTGCATTGGTGCTTAGTAGAATAAGTAAGTGACTTTCCTTGCTGATGCTGCTGCAATTAATATTTTGTTACAACCCTAGTCCGTTATAAGCTGCAGAAGAGGGAGCTGGAAGCAACAGCATTAAACTAGGCTGACCCAAAAGCTAAACACTGCTTGGGGGGGGAGGATTTATTGGGTTCTCTTCCCCCTGCCCCACTGCAGTTTACAGCATTGATGGTAAAACTACCCCATGTGACAGTGCTTATAAGGGGGGGGGGGGGTATAGCTTTTTCTTATTTTCCCTCTGTACTGCTGAAGCAAGCTGACTGCAATAAACCTGTAGCCTAAAATTCTGCCAGTGATTGATACCTTTCTTTTTCAGTCTTTCCATACCTTAGAGTATTACAAGGAAGGGGTTAGGTTGGGACTGCATCCATGTGCTCGGGTAGAGAAGGAGGGTTACTGGGGCAAGCTTTGGTCAGCAGTGGGAGGGAGGCAGCTCCCATGGAGGATGTCAGAGAAGGAGCTTCAGCTGCTACAGGGAGGCTGATGGTCCTTAATAAGTAGCACTGCTGCTGTGTTTGGTGCTTGTAATCTGTATTTAGTGTGGGTCGCATCCTTGTGTCAGGGACTGCTGGCTCAAAGGCAGTTCCAGCTGTACCGTGGAGGGCTTACAGTGTGCTACTGGGGAGCACAGCAGCGAGGTTCCAGCTCTGCCTTTGCTGTGTGCCTGGGGGTTGAACTGGCTTCTGCCTCAGTCATTTTGTAGTATTTCAGGCCTTTACTCTTAAGGGGAACTGGAGCTGTTACATGGAGTGGCACTGGTTTCAGGGGCTGAACACAACTGCTGAAGGAAGCCAGTGTTAAAACCACTGTGCCCAGTCCGTGAAGCCAGGTTAGTGCCTATGCAATTCCTGGGCAGTTAGCCTCTTTTGGCAGTGGATGGGGCACTATTGCATAGAAACCTCCTGCAGCCGCAGGCAGTGAGATGTGAGGGGTGTGCTCACAGTTCAGCAGCCACTGCTACCTTTTGATTGTGGCTATTGATTTGTGCCTTGTTCCCTTCCCAGACTTGCCCACTCCACCACCAAGGCAAGGCACTAGGATGTTTCACCAGTCCTCCCTCCAGCAGGGCAGATGGATGCTGCTAATTATGCCCTGCTACATCATCAGCTGTCCTTGCCCTCAGTTTAGGGTAGCTCAGGTGGAATTTAGCATGTACTTGCAGGCAGAGTCACACAGACCTTGCTTGGGCACTAGTTTCTGTCCAAAACACAGCACTGTCTGCTGGTCAAGAAATTGTTTATTGAAGAGGCTACCACTTTGAAAGTGAAGGGAAGTCTGAGGTGAAAAATGGAATCTGTTCCTGTTTTACTCTACAGCCAACCTGAACAGAAACAGTATTTGCCTACCCTTACTGGCAGGGCTGCCAGGCACACACAGAGCAACGCTGTAGCTAACAAAGAAACAGAGCTAACGGCTGACAACACATGCTCTCTGCCTCTGCACTGCTTTAACACCCCTACCCCAGGATTCCTAGGCCTTAACAGCTCTTCACCCCCCCACATGTCCAGGTGCACAGTTCCAGGAGTAGGATGTTACTCTTGACCAACACCAAGCTGTGGGAACAGTTTAGCCTGCTGCAGTTCAACATGCCTGCAGAGACCATTCTACTGCATGGGTATGTTGGTCTTGATACCCCCGTCTGCTTCCTCACGCAAGGGTGTTTTGCTGTGAAACTGCTTCTACAAACATCCAAGCATGTTTTTTGAAAAATCAAACTAGTCCCCAAATGATGTGCCTCCCTCTGCTCATGATTCCTCAGCCTGAAGGCTATTTCTAGGCAGGGCTGGTTGTAGAGACAGCGTTTACTCTGGTTTTACTGTTACAGATGACAGCAAAGTTATTTCACTTAAGGCACTTTTGCTATTATTTGCAGTTGCTAGTACGTCAAGCAGCTCAGCTGTAGCAATGCTCAGCACTGCAATCAAGCAATGTTGAAGGGAAGAAGTAATAGTTCATCATTACTGCAGCATTTTGCCACACTCTTCTGTAGCAGTCCACTCCCCAGAGCAGGAGTTTTGTAAACTTTCAGCCAAAGTGGGGCTTTCTGCCAGCTGTGCAGGGTGGCTGGACGAAGGATCCATTTTTAATGCACTACAGCAGTCTTATCTGTTTTACTTTTTCATAGTGCAGGGGAGGGCCAGAAAAGCCTAGCTTTCAGGGGAAACGTCCACACTCTCCTGCAGTTTTACACTGTAACCAGAACAGCTGCACTGATCCAACACCTTACTCCCAACTGATCCGGTACAGTCTCCTTGCCAGAGGATGCTCTCTAAATCCATTTCAGAACCCTCTGACATGAATCAAAAGGTGCTCACCTTTTTATTAAATCGATCCCTGGTCAGCCAAGACTGACTACCTCAGTAAAGTCTTGGCCAAAATGCAGAAGTCAGTTTAAACCAGTTTGGGAGCAGCTTATGATGTCACATGCTGCCTCCAGACATGAATACTAGAAGGAGCAGCTAGGTAGCAGGTATTTTTGTGACCAGAAAACAGTATTGCCAGTGTATAGCCTCATGAAAAAAACACTTTACTTTCTTTCTTGGAGATTTCTATTCCTCCTGGGAGATTTGCCATTTTCCCCATTTCCCAGAGTGTACTGTAAGCCACCTTACTTTAAACAAGCAAGTTCTCTGCAAACAAAGGCAAAAAAAACCCAAAACACCCCAAAACCTGTCAATAGTACAGTTGCCAACTTGGTCTTCCAGAGATCAGCACCCTGTTTTGGGAGAACAAATACGTCAAGACACTGATGTTACTTGGTCTGTTCTCAGGCAGTAGCAAACAGTGAGTCTTTATAGAAAGCTGTTCTCATGTTACTGCGTGGTCACAAGCTTTACAATCATACCGATGATCCGAGATCCACGAGGGCACATGCATAAATCCATGCTGGGATTCTTGATTTTATCCTGCAGCAGCTGGTCTAGCTCACAGCGCAGCTCTTTCACCAGCTCAGCCACCTAACACACATGGTAAAACACAGAGGTGAGCGTAAGGCTAATGAAACGCATCTCGTGCATTCCTGACACAAGCACAGCTCTGCAGCACTCCTAGGATTATCCCTCCTTTTCCTTACCTGGTGAGAGGCAGCCACAAACCGTATCCATCCATCATCAAGAGAAATGACAAATTCTCCCTTCTGCAGCTGCATGTGAACCTGCCCGCCTCCAAGCAGGACCAGCGGGTACACTGACACCATACTGCAGTCTCGAATGAACACGCGGCTGGTCTTGATTTTCTCGTGATACACCAGGTAGGGGCTCTCAAAGTGTCTAGTCTGGAACACAGACACAACATCCTTGTAAAAGCGTCACATCTCTTCCTACCTGCTCAGGCACATATGGGCCTGCCTGCCTCTTCCACACAGGCCTCCACTGCCTCTTCTACGGCTGCAAAGAACAGTAAATGTGCCTAAAATGCACCTGCATGACTAACAGACTCCCTCTGACCTGTAAGAGCTGCCAATAACTTTGCCAGTTACCCTTGTTCCTTCCTGCTTTGCATGAGCATGTGAGAAATCAGCTAACTCATCAATGCTGCCTCAAGGTCCCAAGTTCTCCATTTCATGCTAAGGACATTTTCATGTGCACGTTTGTTATGCTCTTTCAAAGCAAGAGTGATGAACAGTTCAAAGCCTTTATAATCCAAATACGTGGTTAATGATTAAAAAAACACTTTTTTTAAAGCAAGTGATTTATATATCCTGACAAAGCAATGAATCATCAAATATGGAGACAGACTTCATGAGACCAATACTACCATATATCATGGCAGAGAGAAAAGAGCTCTTACCTAAGTATTAGCTATTAAGCTGGAATCAAAATTAACTTCAGAGTTTGAGGACCCACGAGGAAACAAACCAGTGTATGTCCCTGAATTATTTACCAATAAATAATATTTCAGCTGAAGAGATAAAGCCTGGGGAGGTGCGGTGGGGAGAAGCCGTCTACATGTATGAAGGTGCTACACACGTGCATGCAATCTCAGTCAATACTGAGGAGAAGCCATGGGAGCATTGCAACTGCAACATTTTTGTGTGCAGCTCTGCAGACGCAGCTTAATAAAACATAAACGGGGGGGGGTTACTGCATCTGCTAATTCCACTCCAGAGGCTGGAGTTTAACTGTGCCCAAGAGGACACTCAACTCAGGAATGTGCCATTATTTACAATTCTAACGGGACTGTTCAATCATGAAGATTTTTTTTTTTAAACATCAGTAGGGACTCTCACTGTAATCTCAACCGCTCAAGCAAAGGTGATTTCTTTTATAAAAAAGAGCATGTTTTGCAGAAAAAAAAAAGAATCCTGACCTGATAATTCACAGATGAAGGGTGAATGTGAACATAACCATCATTTTTGGTAACAAACTTCAGCTCTTCTGCTTTTGGTTGCATTTTGACCACTCCTGTACTGGTCTTCTGGTATTTGCCTTCTGGCTTTTTCACCTATATGGTAAGATAAAAGGTTATAAAAATCTGCTGTACCAGAAAACCTTTTTAACTTATGTTTTCATTTTACCAGAAACAGAAATTCTCAAGTAGTAACATCTCAAGTCACTAGAGACAGATATTACCCTCTGGGTACTGTCTAACTCTGTTCATTTGTAACCTCAGCCTTCTAAAAAGCTGTAATTTAAAGTAGCTTCTTAAGAACATTTGCTGCTGGCTTCTGCGTGACACTAAAATCAGCCTGCAGGCACAGCAGCAGTCTCAAGCAATACAAACTGGAGCCCAGCTGCCTGGCTCTAACACTGTAAGCAGTAAGCTTTGGCAACCTAAGCCAGGCTCATGGCTGCCATAATCAGCTCAGCCTGAAAGCAGGCTGTGTGGATATGCTAGACAGCAGAAGGGAAAATGAAAAAGCATTCTTTTACCTGGACAACATTGGGATACAGCGCAGCACACAACATAGCTGAGATCAGCTTGATGTTCTCTGCGTTTGAATTTGCCTGTGAAATTAATGCATGCATTAGGTATTCTACAGGTAAGTCTATAAAGGTAAAGCCCTGCTTCTGGAATGACTGAATTCCTGGAACTGCTTTACTTTTATAGCTGCGCTGCTGTGCTTTATAGGGGAGGACCAATTACTGCTCCTAAGATCTCAGGCTAGACCTGGGCCACGTGCCCCCACTATCAGTGGAGCAAACTGGCCATCAACTATCTTGACGTAGTTAGTGCCGAATGTAACCGTTCCCTAATGTCTGGCTACAAAGCAGCTTGTCCCTGAGAGAAAGCAAGCACAAGCTTTCCCAATGCACAGTGAGACTCTACAACTACCAAACCCTTATCACCTCATCATGTAGTCCTAGGATATCTCTGGCTCCAGAGGTATCACGTTCTGAAGATTGTCCGCAATGCTGAAATATTTCACTGCTTGCTCTGTAATGTAATTCTGTTCCCAAAATAAGGCTGACACTAATCCCAACATTCAGGCCAGGTCATGAGTCAGACCCCTGCCTTTCAACCACTTACTGACTTCTAACGTGTCAAGTCAGCGGTGTTTCACTGTCTCAAAGGAGCAGGTTTCAGCTCACTTCCACATCTGGGCCTGTTCTTCCTTGGCACGTAAGGCCTCATGCAACTGAGGCTAGTACCAGCACATGTGATGTACAGGGAAGAACAACAGAGCAGGAAGGAGGTGACTTGCCAGCGTGAGATTACAAAGCCAGGCTGCAGCAAGAAGCCCATGAGTCTAGAGCCCACCTGACACCCAGGTCAAATGAAAAACTGGAGGATCATTTTGGAGCACTGAAATGCTGTGAATTACCTCTTCTCCTGTGGCATCCAACACGCCATCGCCTCCTTGGGACCACTTCTTCTCAATGTCCCTTGCTCTTAATCCCTCCTTCACAAACCCAATATCAGAAAGCAGTTCTGTGAATTGCCGTTTCAGACTGGCAATTTCCTACAAACAGACAAAGGGCTGTGAAGGGTGCCACACAGAATGAGGAGAGTCTTCACCAGTTGCTTATTTTCATCATTAGGACTTTGCCAGTGTCTCAACCAGTCCCTGTGCAAGGCCACAAAAACTGACTTACCTGAAGAACTCTTCCTGACAAAAAGTTCTCCCTGCAGTAGTTGTAGCTTGCCTGAGAGCCCTCTTTGATACTTAAACGCCATCCCTAATTGAGAGCATGGGAAGAAACCTTTAATAAAATATTTTGGCTTGAATTTAAAGCAAATCACAAACCTTGGAGAGAGGCTACCAAATTTTAGCTGACCTTATAGGCCTGGAGAAGAGCCAGGTAGTCACTGTTTCCTACCGCAAACTCCAACTTCTTTTTATTCGCTTCTTCCCTTTTATCCCATGGTGACACCTAGACAGGCAGTAACAGATTAAGCGTGTTCTTCCGCTCATAACTTAGACAAGCCATTGTGAGAGCTGCATGGCACAATCTTTTGTATTTTCACAGCAGCTCACAGATCAGAAGGCAAATTTTCTCCATGGATAACAGAAAATGCGAGGCGTTCAAAAACGTCTAGTCAACAGCAGAACACCTAAGCCCATTGCCCTATCTAACCACAAGAGATCCAAAGGTAAATTTGTGATTGACCAGCTCACAGAAAATATTTCCTTTTGGGCAGACCTCTCTGCAGCTGCAGAATGCCAAGATCCATGAAAAACACCATCTGACAAATCTTAGCAAGTTAATGGAGCTGAAACTCAGATGAGAATGCCTATAATAGAAAAGAGCACAGCAAGTCTAAAATCGACTTGGGTCTGAGAGAGAGAAAAGACAATAGTAACTCAGGACTTTCAAAAAGCTGAATTTAAGTTATTCTATATCAGCATATAGAAACTTATAGCACTTGAAGTCAAAATGCTGTAGAAAATGCCCAAGAAGCATATGGAAAACAATATGCAATTAAAGAACTAGAACAGTCTATTTCCAATTCTTTCACAACTATCCTCATTACAAACTACTTGCACTACTAATGATAGCAATCAAAACTTCAAGAAAGTCTCACTTTTCATGCAAGTTTGTACATAGCAGTAGTTTACCAACAGTAAGAGCACCTGTAAGTACAGCAGCTGATTCAAAAAGCCAAAGTGAAAGTGAACACACAAACTGAGATCCAAAAAGAACTCTGCATTCACAGCTCAGACATGTCAACTTCATCATTATCACTGTTTTGTAATTAGTTTTAACTGCTTCTTGTATTACCAGTCATTTTCAATTTTTACACCAAATTTGGACAAAATGGACTGGCTGTACTTCTTAGTTCAAATTAAAACTAATACCTGCTCCATTTCTACCATTCACTCATAATATAAATAACATTCTTGTCTCTGCTACATGGTTTTGGTCTCTGCTTATGACTGGACTTTTTTAACGAGCACTGCATTAACAGATAAACAATGTAGGCTAAAAAGGAGAAATAAAATACTCAAGTGTACTAAGCTGCAAGTTACAACAGCATTTTGCTGCTGCATGAAAACATACCACTTTCAAAGTGGGATACACCGTTAAGAATACTTACAAAAGGCGACTTAAAGGCCAGACTGGCTGCTATAGTTAGTGCAGGATCCAGGCAGCGGAAGATGGTGCCAAACAGCATTAGCTTGCCAATCCTGACATCAACAGGGAGAGAAGCCAAGTGATATCCCAGAGGGGTGAGCTTTTCATCTGGAGTTAATGCTCCCAAGTCTTGCAGTCGCAGCTTTGATGCTCGCAAAGACTCAGTTCTAGGGGGCTCAATTAGTCGTGAGAAGACAGAGTGAAGACTCTGTGCAGAAAACATCTCCAGAATCTTAATTCTTAAGGTGGGAAAAAAAAATTTAAAAAGAAAGAAAAAAAAAAAAGCAGCTTAGTTCCATACACAGGACAAAAAAAGCAAACTTTTATAAGAGCAAAACAAAAAAACAACAGAAAACATGCTTCTAAGAACATGCTCCCTAGAAGAGGGCCCGTAATGTGTATTTCAAGTCAGGAAGCAATGTGAAATAATAGCTGGGGGGCAGTGCACCTTATCCAACCTCACAGAGTCCGCAAGAACAGATTCCTATTAGCATGTTAGGGTTTAAAATAAAGTTTTTACTGTAAAAAAATAAATTGTGTTGTTTCATTTCCTTTTTGTACAAAGGGGTGCACAGCGTGCAGCAGGGACAGGAGGTTGTCTTCATTTAATATTTGCATGATGGTGGTGCTTGATCCAGGTTGTAGTTTTACTGCACTATGCTGCACAGAAACACCGCAGGAGAGTTTACAGTGTAAAGGGACAAACATCTACCACGGGTCTGGGGTACAGGAATGCAACTGTCTTCTCCAGCGATGAGAGATCTGAGAGACGTTATCTTTTTCCTAGGATCAGATGAGAGCTAAGGAATGTGATGAAAGACAAGTAGAATCAGTGGAGGGTGCAGTTGGGGGTGGGGCTCTGAATGCAAAGGCAATATGATAGTAACATCAAAGCAATCAGTCAACAGAGCCTTAGGTCTCCAGAGCAAGTTTCTTGGCTTCACGATGTGAGAAAACACTGGGAAACTAAACACCTTGATAATGGCATCCCAGGTGCTCCCTGCAGTGCAGGAAGGACATTCTGCATGCTGGCTTTTTCAGGCAATACAGGAAACATCAGCTCACCTTAGGCAAAGCTGCTCCAAGGGCACTCTTTGTATTTCTGGTAACTGCTGTTTTATAAGCTGATGGTTATAGTGATGGCTACTGAAAAGATGAAAGCAGACGCCTGAGGCTACACGGCCTGCTCGCCCTTTCCTTTGCAGAGCGTTCGCCTTGGACACAAATGTGTCTTCCAGACTTTCCATTCCTTTGCTTGGGTCGTATCTGCAGGAGAGCAAGAAACAGACTTACATTCACGAGTGCAGAGTGAACAGGCTGGAGGTCAAGCAGGCAGATGCTGCCAACTTCGGTATGGACAAAATTCCCACCCCTGCCCTTGGATCTGAGTCTAGACTGGCTTCCTCCACCTTGCAGCAGCTTTCTGCAGATCAAGTTCCTTCAAGTTTTTTCCAGCTCTTTGGAAAGCTAAAGTATGCAGCTCAAGGTAAAGAGCAGTTTCCCAGATCACAAAGCCCCAAGGAATGAATCCCAGTACCTTTTCTCTTTCATTTTTCCAGAATCAATCACATAGACCACATCATCAATGGTGACAGATGTTTCTGCAATGTTTGTAGAGATGATGATTTTGATAACTCCTGCAGGAGGCCTGAGGAACACAGACTGCTGTTCTTCACTAGACAGCGAAGAATGAAGTGGATAAACAACACACCTGGAAGGACAATATGACAGCATGCTCAGTGCATCTCCAGCCTCTTCCCTCTTAGGAACAATCTGCCTGCACACACTTTAGCCTCGCTAGTACTAGACACTGCCCACAGCCATTCAAAGCAATATAAAACCAGCAAACCTCTCTGCCATATCACCTTTAAGACACAGAATCATAGAACCATTTAGGTTGGAAAGGACCTTTAAGATCATTGAGTCCAACTGTAAACCTAACACTGTCAAGTCCGCCACTAAACCATGTCCCTAAGCACCACGTCTACAAGTCTTTTACATACCTCCAGGGATGGTGACTCAACTACATCCCAGGGCAGCCTGTTCCAGTGCTTGACAACCCTTTTGGTGAAGAAATTTTTCCTAATAACCAATCTAAACTTCCCCTGGCACAACTTGAGGCCATTTCCTCTTGTCCTATTGCTTGTTACTTGGGAGGAGAGACTGACACCCACCTTGCTACAACCTCCTTTCTGGTAGTTGTAGAGAGCGATAAGGTCTCCCATCAGCTTCCTTTTCTCCAGACTAAACAACCCCAGTTCCCTCAGCCACTCCTCACAAGACTTGTGCTCTAGACCCTTCACCAGCTTCATTGCTCTTCTTTGGACACGCTCCAGCACCTCAATGTCTTTCTTGTAGTGAGGGGCCCAAAACTGAACACAGTATTCAAGGTACGGCCTCACCAGTGCTGAATACAGGGGGACAATCACTGCCCTAGTCCTGCTGGCCACACTATTACTGATACATGTTCTAAGGGAAGGTGGAGAACTTTGCAGAAGGGACAGGTCTCAGAACAGAGTTGAGCAAAAATTCTGCCTCTTTTGAAGAGTCTAGAATCTGCCATTTATAATGCCAGACTGGAAGAAATCACTCCAGCTAACCTTGCCATGGACATCTGCGTAAAAACTGTTTAGTCAAGGAGATCCAATTACATCTCCATGTAACGATCTAAGGCCAAATGCAACCACAACTGAATGTGTCTCAGCAAACATTCTAAAACAGAACAAGGGCTGAGGTGGAGTTTTCAACAGTCCACTGGATCATGCAGAGCACAAAATAGAGAACACTTATCACTAGCGTCTCAGAGAACTTCAACAACTAACCTTCCTGAGTTGAGGAGAAAAAACAAAAAGAGCAAGCCAATAAGATAGTAGAAAAGGAATTACCCTGACTGGAGTCAAGACCTTCATATCATAAGCTGTCTCGCACATTTAAGAACCTCATTTATCCCTGGATAAAGGCAGGCTTTGTGCAGGAAGTTACTCTGTATTTATGGGTAAAGACCGATAGCTTTGGAGCTTTTTTGCCTTACCTCTTGCTGTGCCTGTTATTAAAAAGAGCATTAGACTGGAGCTGCTCATAAAGCATCTTGATTTCTGCTAGACCAGGCAAAAATATCAACACAGCCCCTACATACATAGATAAAAAAAAAAAAAAAAAAAAAAAAAAAAATCACTCAACAGAAAGGACAGCATGGTATTTTATCAATGTGCAGAAGGCCCAAGTCAAAACTCCAGCTCTGTTTTGCAATTACTGTACAAAAAACACACAGGCTGCAACAGTCCCTCACCAAAGATTTTCCAGTGTAGACCCTCACCTCACCCATCCCATGTATATCAGGGGCTTTGTTACTTGGCTAGAACTTTATTTTTTTCAAAAATAGTCAGTAACTACAGAAACTTGGCATGCAAAACATTAGCTTTGGGCTGTCTATAAGCGCACAGCCTCCATGAATCTACTCTTGTTTATCTCTCAAGGACAATGAAATTACCTAGGGGGTATGAATGTCTGCCAGCAACTATCCACTCCAGCAAGGCTTCAATTAATTCCAGATTAACTTTGTCCAAGTCCATGACAGACAGTGTTTTCAACACTGTCTTGTTAACCCCTGGGGAAAAAGAAATAAAACACACAGTAAGTCCATCTCTTGTAAAAAAACATCTGCTGGATGCATTGAACCAGTGTGGCTGCACAACCAACCACACCTTGGTTTAAACAGCATCTGGCTTAGACCAGACAGAGGTAGCTCCCTAAGTGACTTAATGTGTCACATTCCCCCTTCCATGCTTTCCTCCGTTTCAGCAATTCCCTTCCCTTCTCATGCCTTACTGGGGCTCACACCTGCCCTGTGCACAGCCTAGACCAGGATTCATCTACTAGCAGAATAACACGCGCACATACTAGTGGTAAGAGGAGCCAAAAGCCTTCATATGGCCACTTACAGATACCTCCAGGACTACCTTCTCAAGCCCTCTCTTCTCCCTTCCAATGTTTCTTACACCAACTCAAAAAGACACCCAGATTCCCCTACTCTTCTGAGACGATAACTGTCTAGCAGGAATCTGAAGCTTTTAAGCAATGCCTCTCGCTCAATACCACTGTGGAGCTCACCATAAGGGTGTGCAGGAACTCTTCAGGACTAAGCACAAGGAGGATTTTGATGATGACAGAGTGGGAAGTTCATGGAACGGTCTGCCTCTCTTATTAAACCATTCACAGAGTGACTCAGTTTCTCAAGGAAGGCTTGTCATGCTGAAGTGACCTCCCTGAAGTGGGCAGATAGATGCTGTGCTTTAAGTAAAGCTGCTCCAGCAAGAACAGATATAGAGAAGAAAGTCGAATTACAAGACATCTGAAAAGGGATGGAAACAGTAGCTGAAAACTGTCCATTTTCAGATCCTAAGAAGTGTTTTCAGCCAAGATGTTCAAGATGTTTCTTCTAGTTTAAGAGAACAATGGTTCTCTCTTTTTTTTTTTTTTTTTTTTAAGCCAGCAGGAGGTTTCTGATCTCATCCAGAAGTAGTGACCTGCTTAACTTCACAAGTACAAAACTCTGAATTATATACATGCATTCAACATGCAATATTATATGCTAATGTACCATGTTGGCTGGTACATGTTATACGCCAATTTATTAGACTTAAGAAGGACCTCACCTTTATACCGTGTAAGGAGCTGCTTCAGGGTTAATTTTTGGTCTGGATCTGAATCTCTGACAACTGTGTCAGTGCCTTCCAGAATGCCAGCACGTCTCAGGTCCTCCTCTACTTCTTCAAATGCAGTTCTTTTGTGTCTTTCATTCTGTTTGCTTTCTTGCTTTGTCTTGCGCCTGTAGGGACTACTGTCCTCTAAAACATACCTGAACAGCAGAAGAACATTTAGTGGCATGGAAAGAAGCCTAACAGCCTCCTTCTAATAATTAGCTACAGAGATAGGGTATCAAAAGCGTTTATATATAAATCTGAGAGGAACATTGTATAAGTGGGCTGCAACACCATAGACAGTATCAAGGTCAAGGTGTCCTTCCACACTGGGGTGTTAGTCTTTTAAAAGCTGTGATGCAAAAGACTAGGACTGCAAACTTGATCTTGACAACTAAGTGGGCAGCTCAGAGCAACAACCTGCAAGTTAATTTCCAACAGCTGAACAATTTACTATCTGGAGTATCTGAGCTGCTGTGACTCTCCAGTAACTACAAATGGTAACAGGAATGTGGCACCTGAGCTGCAAGGTAGGCCTTACAAAAAGGAATTGTTTGGTATCCTGCATTTTTCACCTTCAGTGCTGAAATCTACATTCAAATTTCTTTTGCTTGCCAATGTTTAACCATCATTGAAACAAGTAAAGCACTGACAAACTCTTCATGACAAAGATCACCTTTTCTTGAGTACTTATGTGGTATCTAATGCAGAAAGGCTTGTTCTGGCATGAGATCCTAGACCCCACTGCAGTACAAGAAATATGGTTTAAAGTCAGTGCTTTAGTAGCGCTCCAAGACTGCAGGTGATGGGGGAGATTTGAAAGGATTTAATTTTTAAATCTATGCACAGAACTACTACAGTCTCAAGGTCAACAGTGCAACCTCAAAGGCCAAATACATCTGAGAACGTTTGGCAATTTCATACCTTGTCATTGCAATCACATCTTCCAGGAAAAACTGATCCACAGGAAATGTTCGACCTAAAAGGAAACATGAGGATAAATCTATATGCCACACAAGATACATAAAAGGGGAAAAAGACAAAAGATGGTTACCATTTCACACAGGTTATTATGTCATACACTGGCTTCACAGCTCTCATCTATACTGCACTCTTCAGTATAATTTCTGTCTAGGACAAACAGTGGATGTTTTCCAAGCATGGTTTGGTAACATGCACTTAGACAGTCAGAGAAGGGCTGATACACTTACAGGAACATATCCATGAGGCTACATGTTTGCGTCATACTCCATGTAATAACTCAGCATTATAAAAGGCACATTTGGCTAAACATGCACACACCCAGCTGGATCCTCTCACTGCTTCTTTTTCACGAGGACAGAGAAGAGTCTTCAGCTGTGGTGAAACTAGCTCAGGGAACCATGTCATGCATGCCATGTCATTTTTGTCTTTTGAGGAAGGAAATTCTGCTGGTATAGAGACAGCACAAAAAAGGCTCCATTTTCAAGTCTTCTCTCTCCTAAATCTCATTGGTCTTTCCTTCTAAGCCCTTGGAATCATAGTTCTTGTATAAACCCTCATCTTGCCGCTTTGCAAATTAGCCCCTTGCACTTGAATTGAGAAATACTTTGCAAGCAGAAATACTGAAAACAAACCCCTAAAACAATGAATGTGACAAGATAATAAAAATGAATGGTTTTCACCTGGTATGTTAATAATTGGACAGGAGTGAAAGTATTGAGAAAAAAGCTCTGCATTCAAGGTGGCACTCATTAGTATAATGCGCAGGTCTGGCCTCTGAACCATTATATCCTTCAAAACCAGCAGCAAGAAGTCACTAAAGAAAAAAGCAAAAACACATTTGAATTTCTTCAGTGTTAACTTTCAGAGTCTCTTTTTTCCCCCCCATTCTGTCCACCTTCCTGGTGTTTTCAATAGCACAGCAATACCATCACAGAAGCATGAGCTTCTCAGAATGGCTGGAGGCTAATAATGCAGTAAATTAATGGAAGGCAACCTGCTTACTTTTTGGTTGTCCCCTACTAGAGTATCAGGATTACTTGGCAAATTCATTTAAGCAACAAAAAGCTCTAGCTACCTTATAAATCAATTACATTAATGACAACACAAGAACACCAGATAACAGATTAACTCAAAGTAATGGACGAGTCCTTTTTCCTTCTCTTCCTAACTGGAAGAGTTATTCAAACTTACCCACTCTTCCCTACTCACTGTATTCTTCCCTACATATTTATAGTTTTTGTGGCATGCCTAGAAGACTGGCTTGAAGTGATTTTAGATGAGAAGGAAGAAGAATCCTTGAGAGATACAAGCCTTTTTATGAGGCTAAAATATAATCTGAGCTGTAAAATAACGGGTCACAGTCAAAGCCTCCTAGAAACCCGGTGCATTGCAGTGTTTCACAAGGCAAACATCAAAGAAAAGGATCCTTGCCACTTAGTTTACAGAGATAGTGACAGTCATTATGTTTTGCCTGGCATCAGCAGGTAAGTGGGGTAAAACTGCAGAAGGCTAGAGCAGGATAGGACGAGACTGTCTAGGACCAGTAAAAATCTATAGACTGGAAGAAAACGCGAGCACTTGTCCCTTGCAGGTGCTCTGCTGAAGGTAGCATCAGGAGAAATAATTCCCCAAAGGGCATGTGAAGAATTAGGGTATTTGGTAAAAGTTGAAACAAGGGAAGAGTAAGAACCAGACAACTGTGGTTAAAAAAGTTACTTAACCCTCCAGCCCCAACCAAAACCTCTTTTCAACACCACTGCAATGTGACAGCAGATTGGAGGCATAGAAATTTAAGAGACATGCTTTCTTTGCAAGCTGCTGCAACACAGCTTCCTACTGCCCAAAGACAAGAACCTAAAACCAGACTCCTTCCACCATCCCACATTACTCCACAGGATCAACAAGTCTGACTTCAGTTACTTGCACCTTAGTCAGCTTTATTCTTCTGAATATGTTTCTTCATTTTGCTTATGGGATAAGAGATTATTTACCTTTCTTCTGTTCTTTCGTGAACTTCATCAACAATAACATGTGTGATTCCCTGCAAAGTCAGATCTCCTTCCAGCCTTCTCAATAGCACACCAGTAGTGCAGTACAAGAGTCTGGTAGCTGAGGACTTGAACAGTAAGACAAAGCATTCAGTTGACTTTGGGCAACTTAACATAGTGCAAAGAATACATGTTGCTGTAAAGCGTATGGTTTCAGCTGAGTGCCAGGTTTGACGGAAAGGAAACAAGCGATCCCTGCTGGAGACGGGCTGAATGATTTTTTCTTTCTTGATTAAAACTTGAGAACATCTGCTTCTTACCAAGGTGCATTGCTAACTATAAGGGCTAAACAAAAAATCTGAAATGTCTTTCCTGTGGAAGGTGCTTTCTGATAAACAACTCTGATCTCTGTCCCTAGAAAGATTTAGTGAATCTCTTTATTAACATAGTTCTTGGAAAAAGCAATCAGCTGCAATGTAGACAAAATTTCACTTCCAAGACAGCAGTATGAATTCAACCCCACTTCAGGCTGACTGAAGCTGTACTCTTCAATCTCCACTTGGGAGACAAATGGAAATGAAGTCAGTAGCCTTCCAGAGGACAGAAGTATTACTCATACTCTCAGATCCCTTCACCCATCTCAACAGAAAGCAAAACAACAATACAAGATATAGTACTGCACTCTCATTTTGTAAAGTGGACTGTGCAACTTGAGATAAAATAAAATACAGAATATATTTCATAATATAATACAAAATATAGGTAATACAGACTTGCTTATCTCACTATACGGCAGATACAGGGCAGAGATTCTGTATACTAGAGAAGCACTAAGCACACTTTGATAGAACTAAATGAAAACCAACAAGCAAAGCATATATACCTTTACACTTTCTAGACGGATCTGATATCCAACAGTGAGTCCAATCCTTTCTGTTCTTTCTTTGGCTACACGTTCAGCCACAGAAATGGCAGAGATCCTGCGAGGCTGAGTGCAGATGATGTTTGCAACTCTGCTTGGAGATCCTTGCAGTGAAGCATCCAAAATAAACTGAGGAATCTGAGTGGTTTTCCCACATCTGCATGACAAAATCAGGGGTTAATTAAAAAAAAAACCCACAAACCCAACACCTTCCATCCATGTAAATTAAAGATGACTGCATTCCACTTGGAATTTGCTTTGTTTCATTACTGTCATCCTTCACAGGAAGTTCACCTAGGACTGCTGCCACTGGTTACAGACGGACAACGACCCTAACCCTTTCAGGACATGGATATGTATTTCACATTCTTCTGGGTATACTTTGATACATAAAGTCTGTATGTGCAATCACACTCTTACCCCGTCATGCCGCTCACAACAAGAACTTGGTGGCTCTTCAGCAAATCAAGAATGGTTTCTCTCTCTTGCCATGCCGGGAGCTTCTGTCTTTCATACAACATGGACTGGAAGTGCCTAGAAGACTGATGCACAAAAACAGACAGCATGGCAGTAATAACACCACTGGAGTGGAACAGAACCATTTGAAACAGCAGCCTGTGGCTTAAATATTTATTTCTCTAAAGTAAGCATGACAACAGATATTCCGTTCTGTACATTATACCTTTTTCAGCCGAAATTGCGTGCAGATTTTAACATTTTCATTATACAGAGACTTTGCCTGCACATCATACTTTTTGGAAAGCTTTTTCTTGAGGTTCACGTAACTCTCATTCTCCACAACAACTTGTTCAGGCTCATCTTCCTCCTCCTCTTCTTCCTGAGGCTCTGAAACTGTTGAGGCTTGAGACAAGACAATGTACAGTTAGGTATTCTTGTTACTAAGGAACAGGGCCTCATCAGCACTGCAGAAAAAGGACACATGTTCCAGGAGCATTCTCAACAAAAAAACTTGTTAGACTGGAGCTGAGGGTCTGCAGGACTGCTTCTGACGTGCATTTAGTTCAACACTACCAGCAAACCTACGCTCACCACATCAAACAAACTACAACTGCAGCTCCAACCCATTCGTCACTACCTCCGCACCAGCTGTGCTCTGCAACACCCTGGTCTGGGTGGCCACATGGTGAACCAGACTGGTAACTGGTTTGCCTTCTTGAACTTTTTTCATGTGTCTCGGCTCCCCTCTCCAATTCACCACATGACCACTTCTGTGGAGCACAAGACTGATGGCAGCACCAGCTTAAATTAAAACTATACTGTAACATTAAGTGTTAAGCCACTGCCAAGTACTTTTAAACCAAGGCTGAAACCAGACCAGACACTTTGGTGCCTACTGCCTATCAATTGAAGCAGGATTTGCTCAGACAGTAAGCCAGCCCTTGAAAGTTTTAAGGCTGCGTTTATCTAAACAAGGTATTTTATAATGTAAGGAAGATTTTACAACATAAAGATTATTTGGAACCTCTGATTCCAATTTCTGGAACAAAGCTGTCTTTCTGTGGAGCTTTTAAAAAATGGAATAATTTGTTTTACTATAACAAAAAAATAGGCTGTCACTATTCAGGTGTTCTAAAATGTGATGCACATATTCTTGAAAACTCTCTTGAAGAAAGTTTGCCTTAGATAAAACAGTTTTGGAATTGAGAGCTTGAAGGTCATCCTGCCATAAATGACACTGTCCCAACCCTCCCCCTGTGAAATCAACCTAGCTACACTTGCATGCAAAAAAAGGGATGATACCTTGAACAACATTCTAGAAACACTTGCAACATCTACTTAGCCTTAAATCCACCTTTACAAAGTTAATTTTAAGGAGGGCTTGGTAATTTTAAGTAATTAAAAAAAAAAAAGTTTCCAAATTGATGATTAGCAGATACACCAAAGCTTGCAAACAACCTTCTCTGTTCCCTCCCAAGCACACCTCTCTGGTCAATTTTGGTTAAGCTCACACCACATATCTCAATGGCTTTTTATTGATTGTGTGGGATTAGGCATCGTTCACTCTGCCAACCCAAACTCATTAGCTCTGTGCTCCTTTAACTTAGTTCTTGCTGGCGGAAAACATCTCTGCTGCAGCTTTATTATGGAAGGGACTTCCTGAGGCACAAACAGATTATGGATCTGGCTCACCCCATGACCTTAATCTCCAGAAACACATTTAGAATAGATGCCTAAATTGGGCCCTCTGCCTTCTCTTTTTTTTTTTTTTTTTTAAATCTTTTTGACTGTTCTTAGCCCAGAAACCGTAAAGGGAAATTTGGTGTACCTTCGGACAGTTGATTTGAACCAGATGTACTCTCTGTCTGGAGCTTTACCAAAGGTGTGGCCAGCAGGGACACAGGAGGAACACTATACTTGTGGTGAGTATTTTTAAGTAACTCGCTTATTTCAGATTCATCTTCCAAGCAAGTCACTAAGGTGTACACCACTGGTTCATTAGACTCTGCAGCCATTAAGGCCTTTCCAAAGAGGAATTCAGCAATGTGTAAACGACAGGCAAGAGGCAGATTCTCATCAGTGGAATAAAGTGCCACAAGAGGTGCTTGAAGTGGATACTTGTTTTCTTCAGGAAATCTTACTTCAAGTTCATATATGGGACCATCACCGTTAGGTCTGAGATGAGCATCACCTACAAAGTTCCTGGCTGATTTTAGTGGGTGGTTTGGAGGGAATTCATGTCCAAATCTGCATTTTGAACCAAACCTGCAGCCTCCTTGGAGATAAAATTTACATATTTCCTTTGAAGTCTGCTTTGCTGTCTCCCTAGTACAACCTCCCTTTTGTTTAGATTTGCTGTGCCTACTTGCTAGGTACTCCAATTCCAAACTAAAAGTCCAAACACGATTTTGAATTCTTTCTACAAATTTTTCTCCATATATTGACCGGAGGGCAAAAGCCTCTTCTTGTCTCTGTTCTAAACATTCTTCTTGTCTGGCTTCAGCCGCTGTTGCAGAAACCTGCATCTTCTCTCCATATCTTTCTGTAAAGCACTGCAATAGCAAATACTCCAATGATGCCCCAATATTACCATTGCAGGATCTCAGTACTGTCCTACAACGCTCACTGTCAAAACCATACCTGCAACAAAACAGAGACAACATGGCAACAAGTGAGTGACAGAGACTTATATGAAGCAAAATAACCACAGATCTGCTTGATTTGGCTTACAGGAAGGAAGCATGTATAGCATGAGATACTATTACTACTACTGGGGGAAAAAACCCACACCAAAATATTTATGCTATTTTAAATGACAGCAGCAGGCAGTAATTTGGTGTCTGTGAATGTTAGTCAGTTGTTTATATGGTGACAAATTAGTTTATGTGTAAACTATCTCACATCTCAGAATGTAGCACGTAATAGTTACAGGATTAGATTTCCCAGAGAACTATATAAACTAAACTCTTCAGAAAAAGCTGAGTCTTCTCACATATAAAACACTCTCAAACAAAGCAGAAATAGTTAATAAATGCTCATATCTGAGCAAAATGGTTGAAGAACACTTACAAGGTTTTGAAACGTTACCTACCTGAAAGAAACATACATATAACAGCAATACTCCCCAAGTTTTACCAATATATGTTTCATTGTCTTGGAGAAAGAATGGAAAACTTCACTGAAAAAAGGCTGAAGTGATTTATTTTCCTAAAACCATTATTTTAAATTCATCTAGTTGAGGATTAAATTTTCAGGAGATACAAACTCATTAGTTCTGCACATAGAATTTCCCTGGAGTCAAGAGGAAGTCCAAGCACTGAGGGCTTACAGTATTGAGACTAGTGATTTACCTCTTCAGGATACAAATTATTCACTGAAAAGCATCACCTGGAGAGTTTGTGCACAGCAAATGAAGACACTTCACTTTCCACAATTCTGTGCTCAGCTGGCTCAGCCAACAACCTTGGTATTACGTCAGATACTTCCTGATCTGTTGACCAGCACTGTTCATCATCAAGGTAATCAGGTTCATCATCATCTTCACCAGAACCAGCTACTCTGATAAAAACAGTTATTAAAAATTAAAATGAAACAAAATTATACTGTTGAGTAGACACAAAACTCTGCCTCTGCAGTTTTAAATCCTCCATTTAAACAGCAGATTCTGATACCCCTTTCCCAGAGTTGATATTGTAGAAGAACAAAGCAGACTCAAAACCACAGGATTTGAGATCAATTTAAAAGTTAAGGGAAAAAAAGAATACTGTTTTCATTTCTAACAGTGTGCCTGTTAAAGCATGCTCATCTAGAAGAGCTAGAAGTACTGTCTCCGTTTAAACTAACTCTGATTCAGGAGCCAGCTCCTGCCCTTGAAGCTCCTGAAGAAGTTCTTTCACTCTTCTCTGATTCTCCGATGTCATGTGTATGGTCTGCAGAGGCATTCTCGCTTCAGGTCTCTGTTTCGTTTGCCCTCCTCTTCTGGCTGGGGCATTTGATCTAAAAATTAAAATGGAACATAACAATGACTTATTTGCCTGGCTCAAATGATCTTGACTGAATTGGGATGTATTAGGATCCAACCCTGTAATTCAAACCAGGAAAACCAAACTAAGACAAGTCCATCACCTAAGGATTATTCAGCTGGGTTCACTCTTACGTGACCAGGATGTGTGTGTCTATGTCTGCACACACACACGCATGCATATATGTATTTTAGCCTATGTCAAATCCAAAGTGATTTAATAAACACTTTGCTAGGTAAAGTGGTTCTCAGACTACAGTACAACCATGTATTTCTAAGCCAGATTGGTCAAAATACATTCAGAATACTAAATTCATTCTAAATTGCTTATTTTCCATGGCCCAGCTTCTGCTTTGTAATACATGAAAATTAATATCCTGTGTTTATTCGTGTTTTCTGATCAAAGATGTTCTGAAATTACTTATGACTAAAGTAGAAAATCAGAGGTTCTAATATTTAAAAAAAAAAAACCACCAAAACAACTTTCCTAGCTTTAAAATGTTAATCAAAAAAAGACATGTAAAAATCACTTCATACTGAAACAGCTTCATCACCCCTTCACTCTTCTGTATATTCAAAGATATCGAAGAACAGCATCAAAGTATCCCAAACATCTCTACCCCACCCTCCCCCAAATTAACAGAAAGACCTGGATTCCAGCCTTGGTTCCTCGAAGAGACAAAAATCATCTCCATCATCCCAAATTTTGGTTGAACATTTCCTATTTCCACCAAGCTGAGACTTGTTTGAATGGCCACTGCTGCCTCCTCCTCTTCTTCCTCCTCTTCCACTACCTCCTCTCCCTCTTCCTCCTCCTCTGTTGGGCTTTCCTCTTTTCCTCCCTGCTGAACTCATGTTCTCTGGCTGAGGAAGGGAAAAAAACATAGCCCTTAGTCATGAAGATGATTTAGCACATTGCAAATGTCCAGGCACACATTACATTATTTGTTTTTCCATGTGACAAGTGAAGATACCCTCTCAAACTGCAGTTAATTATCTGTATGTTGGTGTATTTGTATGCACCTGAAGCAAAGCACATTCTTCTAGAACACTTAAACAAGTTCTGTGGTTTTAGAAAATAAAAGTAATATTCCTCACAGCTGTTCAACCAAAAACTGCAGGACCTCTGGCAAAAGTATGAGCCTACCAGCAGCGCTGCCTAGCTTGGGAGCTCCAGTTCTGCCACTCTGATGGAAATTTCTTGGACATGGGAGCCCAAAGGACAAACCTTCAGGGGAACTTTCACAGCAGAAAGCAGCCTGTACCCTGCCACTTTTTGCCTCGGGAGTTTGCAGGGCTGGCAGTAAAAGGTTGAAGGGGAGCTGGAGCCAAATATACAGTTTGTTTCCACATTAGCTTGCTCCTGACCCATCCGCTTCTGCAAGGAGCTGCCCAGATGGCTGAGCACTCTGTGGAGCCTGGGCCAGGGAGTGATCAGGGACCTGCCTTGGAAAACAGAAGCCCTCCTCTCCTTCTTACAGCAAGATCCTCACCAGCTCTGACACAAGCCCATTAGTATTAAGCAGTTGTTGTCAGTGACAGAACGGCTTAACATTAACACATGCTCCTGCAAATGGAAAGCTACTGCAGGGACATGTGAGCAGCTGCGGACAGTCTGGCAGGAGCTTACTACCTGGACTTTTGTACTGGCACCTCCAGAGCCAGGACAAGAACGGCTGTGGCTGTGCATGAGTAACAGCCCAAATGAGGGCTTGGAGAGCGGCAACAGTTCGGGGCTTGGACAGAAGCAAACTTCCCTTTTTGTGACAGTTCTCCCCACTGGAGCTCCAGCAGGACCGGACAGGATTTAGCAGACAAGCTGACCCCGCTCAGAGCAGCCTGGCATGAACGAGGGAGACTAAGAGGGTGAGCACGGCAGCTGCACCCAGAGACTTGCAGCCGTCCCCGAGGACACTGTCACACGGGGTCTCCGTCTCCTTCCCCTCAACACAGAGCACGGAGCCCCCGGCACACATCAGCCCCGCTTCCCTGCCGACTCCTCCAGCCCCCCCCGCGCCCCACACCCGGGGATCCCCAAAACTCCTCTCCTGGCCCTGCCCCTCCCTCACCGCAGGCTCTCCCTCGCCTCCTCCCGCCCACGTTCCCGGGACCCCATCCCCTGCCCACCCACCTCCCCTCAGCCCCCTTCGCGGGCCTCCCGCGCACCCCCTCCCTCTCCGCGGCGCCATTACGCCCTCCGGGCGACTCCACAGCCTCGCCTCCCTTTCCTCCCCACAGCCCC